AAAGATAATTTGAATGCTATAGGTTTTTTTTTTTTTAATTGTAAACATGTTAAGAGTGGCTAAGCATGCTGTACTGCGATCCTAGTGAATCAGAGGCTGAGGCAGGAGGATCATAACTTCAAGGCCAGCCTCAGTAATTTAGTAAGGCCTAAAATAACTTGGTGACACCCTGTCTTAAAAACAAAACAAACAAACAAACAACAACAAAAAAAAACATAGTGCCAAGATTGAGAAACCTTTATCTATTGGAAATTCTTTCTATCTATCTATCTATCTATGATTTTGAATTCATCATTGAGGAGTAGATGTCAATATGGGGACTTAAAAAATTCTTGCAATAATAAATCATATTGGGGACACTTTACCAGAAATAAACTAAGCCTCAATTATCAGTCACATCTTTTTCAGAAAGTCAACACTGGGATAGTGCAAGGCAATTTGGGAGGATTTTAGGATTCTATAAGCAGGGCCACAGAAGTCACATGGGAACTGTGAAGAGAAACCTTTTATGCCTAACACACCATTCTCCCAAGGGACCATGAGGACATGATTATCCACTTACATGGACCAACTAACGCTCCACAGTGGAGGGACTGGGCTTAGAGTGAGCTTGCCAGAAACCACAGCGGGATGTGTTAGAAGCTCCCCCCATAACAATTTTCCATTAGTACCGTTGGCTAGAATCTGTGTTAAAAAACGATCACTGTAGCATCTATCAATTATGCAGTTCCATTAGTCTGCAGGGTGGAGAGACAGAGGTGTCTGCAATCTCAGCACACTCCTTTTTCTTTAAGCCTTTAAAGACACACCAATGACCAATAACCTCTTGTACAGGTTTTGATGCTTGATGTGCTGGTTCAAAAAAAACCTCGCTGGTTCTCTGTTCTTATGCATGCATGTAATGAGACCAACAGTTCTATTGGCACATCTGTCTGGCATGTCTGATGATAAACTCAAGACTAGCCAACACTCATTATGTCTTAATGCCAGACAGTTTCTCCATACTTATCAGATTATTTTTAAGAACTTAATGTTCGATATGTTTCAGTACACACATCTCTAACAACAACAACAAAAAAAGATACACTTTATAAAACTGTCTCTAAGGTTGATTTTAAGAGAGAGCCTATATTTGATAAATACTATGACTAAACACAACATTACTTCATAAAGGGAAAAGTTCTCATTTGATGATATATTTAGAACCCAGAGAAATGTTCTTGCAAAAACCAAATTGAGGGCTGTAATATAGCTCAGGTGGTGGGGTGCTTGCCCAGCATTCACAAGACCCTGGGTTCAATCCCCAGCACCATCAAAATTTTTTAAAAAAATTGATTTAAATTTCTTTATGGGTCTTGGCTCTAATACCACCCTTTCTGATTAAATCACCAATTTTGATATTTTTCAAAAGAAGATCTGAAGAAAAAGAAGTACTGTAGAATCAAATGAGTTATCAAGCTTGCCTCCGGCAAAAAAAGATGACTATCAATTTGGAAACATTTTATTGTGTACTGCACTCTGAACTCTTCATTCAACGAGGTGTCCACACCTGCGCTCCCTCCAAACCTGTCACATATTAGACGCAGTGGCTCACGCCAAGATTCAATATCGCGTTAACCACTCCAGAACTTGACTCTCGGGGCTCCCAATTTGTGGTGGGGGGTTTCTGTTTGGTTGTTTAATTTTTAAGATCTTTCTGGGGTTTGGTAAAATATAACATAGATGTCCTGAGCTGGATTCTGTCTTCAGGCAACATTGTTTTTTTTTTAAATCATTCATAGTTTTCTCATAATTGCTTTCTCATGAGAAGCAAAAAAAATGCAGCATTTCCCAGACTCACCCAGGACCGGCTTGCTAAAGCTGCAGCTTGAGGAGAAATTTCAAACATATTGATTCCCGGTTAGTGGCATTTTTTCCCCTAGAGGATTCATCTGAATTTTATTGGCTTAAATGGATTTCAGATGGGGAAGTCAGCAGTCAGGTGCAAAGGAATGCATTTGAGGGCTTGGAAATGCCACTTTATCAAGCGTCGAAAATTCCTCATAGCCAGCTCTGGTCATTTTTTAATTACCCAGGTGGTACACACACTCTGCAGTAGGCTACATGAAGTGCCAACTCAGCCCTTTCGCCCCAGAAAGCAAAACCACAGTGGGGGTAAATCAAAGGGAGGTGAGGATTCCAGAAAGTTCTCCACAAGTGCACCAACTCTCTTGGAATCGCCTTTCGTCCTTTGCATCTACGACAAACCAGACACCTGGAGATATTGATATTTCTCAGCTCTTGTGGCTTCTGTATCTTGACTTTGTGTTCAAAAGATTGCAAGTTCAAGGGATGGGTTTATTTTGGTCAATACAAAAAAGCTACCTTAATTTAGCTTCTTCTGCATATTACTTCTCCCTAGCTGGCTCACTTGCGTTACATCCACATTGTGGTAACTACACAAATGGAGTGGAAATAAAGAACACATTCTTCAGATTTAAACACATAATTAGCTTGGAGTCACAAAGGCACAGTGTGAGAAGAAGGAGATTATGTGGTGTCAGAAGAGGAAAAAAGTACTAATGCAAATATGGTGTATTATTGTACATCCCTGCAAATCATGCCAGGCTGAATCTAAACCTCTAAGTTTTGCACTAACGACGTAAAACCCTGACCAGGGGACAAATGAAGAGCCTGACTCTGGAATCAAAGTGCCACTTAGTTTCACTGCCAGTGACGTTCAGCAGACCTACCCTGTGTCCTTCAGTAAAATGGGGAGTTAGTGTTATCTCCCTCAGAGAGCGGTTGAGAAGATCAAAAAGAGAGAAGCCACATAAAATGCTTAGCATGGTGACAGGTATACAGTAGGTGCTTATTAAATGTCAACAGCTACAGCATCTTTCATATTGCTAAAAAGCATCAATGATCTCATTGTAAAACAATTTTTTAAGCAATCCCTTCATTATTTCCCCCAACATGGCACAGAATTTCAATCCTCAGAAGTCATGACAACAGAGTTTCTGGGCATAACATTCTGGACTTTCTAGAAGTGATATTTGAAAGGACCATGCCTATTTGCTCTAACTCAGACGAAAATCCTGAGCTCTTTTAAGAATCAGGTGCCCTGTTGTCTTCCCTGTCAGTGGGTCCTGCCAGCTCAGAGCCCTTACTCTTCTGGAAACTGGCAACTGGAGGAAAAGATAGGTATTTGCCAGTTGAGCAGCCCTCAAACTTCATGACTAGATGAACGAACAGCCTGAGATGATGATATCTCCATTAGCAGCTGATGACTATAGACAACCTGTTACAACCGGCCGTGAAAGGAGAAAATCACTGCCCCCAGTAAGGGATGTTGGAACCTGCTGTGTGTTCGTTGAGAAGGGGACAGGGATATTTACGCTGATGGAATCACTTAGTAGTGACCAGCAATAGCTCAAGGATAAAATCTGTGTTTGGTTTTTCAAGAAACTACCTGCAAAGCCACACTGGGAGGCTGTTAGGACTTAGGACATCCAAGAGTGTTATTAGAATCACGCTTACAGAGGCCGGTGGCAAGGTGATATAAAATTTCAGGTGGGTTTGGGGGGATTTGGCATTTTTTGAGGCTGAGCCAGATTAATCCAAATTTAGTCTATTGGTCAGGATGAGTAGCTTCATTCCAGCGTGGGAGGGCTGTGTGCGAGTTTCAGAATACCCGGAAGGCAGCAGAACAGAGGGTCAGTACATTCCTGGAGACACATCGCTATTTCCATGAGCTGCCCTGAGATGATTTCAAATCAGAGAAATTGCTGTTCAGAAAAAGAGTGCATGCCTAAGAGATCTAGGCATGTGTGAAATTCCCAACTTGACTTTCACAATCCCTGAAAAAAAAATTGTCAGATCTTCTCTTGGTTCACATTCAGTGGTGCCTTTAACTTTCATTATGAATATATTCTGTAGCTCATTTCACCATGGAAAGGGCTATGCAGATTTGTTGATTGTGTAACCAAAAGAGAAGATGAAAGCATCCACTTGTTTCCATTAGCGTAATTAGTTAATCATCTTATCATCTCTGTCTAGGATAATTATATTAATAGATTTTCTCCCAGACTTTGGAATTAAAAACAAAGAATTGAGACCATCTTTTATACTTTGAAAGAAATCAAAAACAAAACACCAAAAAACACAGCAGTTAACCAGGTAATGCATTTAGAAACCATTGCTAGCAAAAGTGACCAGACAGCCATTGTACACTAGTTTGCATTTGACAATAGCAACTTTTCTCCTGATTAGCTTTGGATATGGAAACACCATAGCCAGGAATGGGCATTTGACAGACAGTGGTCCTAATACATAGTGTATAGAAACACAGAAGAGACACAACACTCCTTAGGATCCAGCTTTTCAGGGAATAATGTGAAACGGACTTTAATGATCTGAATGCTTTTTGCACAAAAATTTGGCTCTTTTTTTTTTTTTTTTAAAGGTGTATGTTCCTGGATCTTAGGGAAAATTCATCTCATTCATTCTACCTTGCGTAAGACCTTAGGAGATTAGCACACATCTTTCAGCACAGCACACAATATTTGGTAGCTATTTATGGAGTTTAAGACAGTCTCACTGTGACACTGATGAAGAAACTTTAATTAAAAATGGCTAGCAGGTTGTAACACTCGAAGGCACCCAGGGCATGTAACACTCTCAAGGAAGGTTTCGGTAGAATGACATTACATTTTTTATAAAGCCAACTCTAAGTTTGCTTAAATAGTTTCCTTACTCTGTTGGAAGACACCCGGCATATACTTCAACAGCTAATGAAAGCTTCTTACTGTCACAGAACAGCCACTCTGGTTTTTAAACATAAGAATCAAAGAAAGCAAAGTTAAATTAAAAAAAAAAAAAAAAGACAATCATGAAAGATTTCACAATCATATTTGGAAAGAAAAGTGTACAGCCCAAATCTACCCAGGCAGACAGATAGACACACACACACACACACACACACACACGAGCCAACTGTAAATCAAGAGAGATAAACTTACCGGAGCAAATATCACCATACACATTTACAAAAGAATTGATAATCCAACTTCCCTCTCCTGAAAGAAAATAGAGGTTGTCTCATACTAAAAATAAAGCTTCTCTGTCCACAGCGGCAGCCACTTGTCCCTCTCTCTCTCTTGCTCTCTCTCTCTCTCTCTCTCTCTCTCTCTTTTTTTTTTTTTTGTGAAGCCAAGGAAGAGAACAAGAAAATCAATGCAGAGGGAAAGTGAGAGGCTATATACCAATCAAGGGGCTGCGCCTGCTTTATTGGCAGAGAGATGGCAAAACGGTCATATTAGTAGACAGGGACAGCCCACAGCCGAGTGCAGGAACCTGATACTTCCCTCTGGTGACAGGCTGCCTGCTCTGGGGGAGGTGGCTACCACCATGGTGAACTCCCACACTTGGCTCTAGGCTCACAACTGCCCCACCATGCAGGACAGAGCCAGCGCTGCGCATCACCAGGAGAGGCAAGGGCTCCCCTGTTACTCCCGAGACCCCTCCTCCCTCCCCCACTGCGCTTGAAAACAAACTGGAAGACGCTAAGGAGGCAGGATTTTGCACGTTGAGGGTGCAGAGGGGAAGCCATGGTTTTATAAAAAAAAATTTTTAAAATCCTTATGAATAGATTTGCATAGATTAGGTTAATATGGGTATGTTGGTTAGAAAAGAATTGCCCTCGTTTTTATGGAAATGCACGGGTATTATGCATGATCCCCATTTGGGAAATTCATACGCTGTCCATAAATAATCATTAAGATGATGGTTTGGAAGACAGTTTTTTTTTTTTTTTTTAGACACTGGCGATTATGGAAGGGACCGATCGCAGCTTGGGTATTTGGTGCATCCCACGAGTGGTACTTAAAACCTTCTGCAAAATCTCAACATTAGAAGGGCTCCGCGGTTTAAATGTGACTTAGATCTTTTTTTTTTTTCCTTTGCAGAAAGGAGTTGAGTTTGACTATTTCCAGGGGCTGCAATTATGGCACTCCCAAGGAAATGTGTTTTGGGGAGCTTGGCACCAAATTCACAGAGAGGCTGACCCACCAGTTGCATGCTGTGCTCCCACAGGCGCTCCCAGGACGGTTTCTACCTGTGACTTAGGGGGCCTCCCAGGGAGGTGAAACCTGCATGCTGCCCTCCCCCAATTCAGGGCCCCACTCGGGACAGGTGTCTTGTTGGGTTGACCCCAGGTATCTGTGCTTCCTATTCAGTGCACCTGAAGACGGTCCAGCTGAAAATCACATAAGCTGGCCGTGTTTTAAATAGGTGGTTAGTGCAGAATCTATCCCAGACTTTGCTTGGGTCCCTCTCTCTGTCTCCCTGTTCACACACACACAGCCACTGTCACCAACACACAGAGGTCATCACCATCATCTCTCTTTCTGACGGCCCCACACTTTTTTCCCCCTTTCCTTCCTAGGCACATAGTAATGACTGGGGAGCAGGGGGAGGGCATTGGGGGACCCCGCCAGCCATCTAATAAAATAACGACAAGAATTCAGGCAACTTGGAGTCTCGGAGTCCTGTTTCCATTCACTGGCCATGTGACTTGAAAAGTCCCTTTGGGCCTCTGAGCCTCAGTTTGTCCTCTGTAAAATGAGTACACTAGCACCTCACAGCGCTGCTGGTGGGGCGGTGAGGGGAAGAAATGAAATGCACCCAAGAGAGTGCTCTGAACCCACACTATGCAGACGCAGTCAGGGACCCCCAGCTTCCTTTCTCTTCCTCTTCCTTCTGATCCTTTGTGCATGAGCCTGCAGAGTTCTTACAACATGTCAAGCTCTGAACATCCTCCCAACCCCCACTCTCCCATGGCCACCTCTCACCTGCTTATTAAAACGTCCCATTCCAAATGAGGGACTCCAGGGAGTGAACTAAGCAAATGAATCAAGATAAGGCAGGGAAAAAAAAGAAAAAAGATACGGGGCACTTGAATAAGCACTCAGCAAGTCTCCGTGGAAATAGAGGAAAAACTGACCCCCAAATGACGTCTTTATACTAAGGCCACAGCTCCTGCCAGAGTTGGAGCCAGGTTGGAGCCGAGTTGAGGAGGTGGCTGTACTCAGCAAGGTACCCATAGGACAGAACCAGACTGAAAGTTCTGCAGGCTGGGTGTCCATTCTCACCAACCTGGAATACGAAGATCCCCATTTCAAGCAAAAGAAAAAAAATTTTTTTTTTGGTCTTTCACATACTAATCGTGAGCATTTCCTGAATATTTTTGGTGCCAGATATTATTAGTAGTGTTTTTCTGATGCATCAGCTTCTGAGGTCTCACAAAATGAAAAAGTTACTATTTTCATTCTAGTTGATAGATGAGGAAACCAAGACCCCAAGAGTGAAGTGGCTTATCTGGAAGTGCACAGTTAATATTTAACAAAGCTGAGACTAAAACCTAGCAGGATGCTCTCCAACCGTTAACCTCAGAGGTCTCGTGATGCCTGTTGTCTTTTTATTTATTTAGTGTACGGGGTATAGACTAATCCACATATGCATGCAGGGACCCTGGGAGAATTCCTTAGCTGTACCCACTCTGTGGATTCAGGGTCCACCAGACCCAGGAGGTCCAGTCCCTGGCCCGGCTGGGCTCCAGGTGCACTTGGCATGTTATTCAAGACCTGAGAAGAGGAGAGGTAAGCTGCTGCATCATCTTGAGGTTGCTACTGATCTGTTCCATGACCCTGGGGGTGTCCCTGAATTCGTTCATGTTTCAGTTTTGCTCATGTTTCAATGGAAGGATTTCGACTGAGTCACCTCTCAAGGGGTTTCAGGGTCACCCTAGACTAGAGTCTGATTTCTGGTTGGGTTAGCCTTTCGGGCCTCCTATTTTGTTCCAGATGAGGCTGCCAGATTCTCTAAGTGTCCCCTGCCACCACCCACCATCACCTCTCCCCAGAGTGGATCCAAGTAGGTCCCCCATGAAAGAACCCATGTTCATCCCTTTAAAATGTCAATCAGATCTGGTCACTTCATTCATCCCATAGGCTTCAAGGAAAATCCAAACTCTTTGGGGCTCCTTCAAAGCCTCCGTGCTGGGGCTCCATGTGCCTTCCTGATTTGATCTCATTCCCTTCCTCTTTGCCACACTGGTCTCACCTGCCTTTGCTCTGACTGTTCCTTCAGCCTGGAATGTTCTCCCCTCAGATCTCCCTTGTCATTCAATCCTTAGCTGTACTTTCTGCTTTTGAGAGTGTCTTTCTTTGCTGACCACCTAATCTGAGTGCTGACTGGGGATAGGAGAGCGTATTGTTTTTTTCCTGTCGTAGTAACAGTTGTTGTTATGTATGTGTGTGTTATGATTTTTTTTGTACTTTCTACTGTCTATTATGTTTTGTTTTTTGGTACCAGGGATTAAACCACTGAGCCCCATCCTTTTATTTTTTATTTATTTAGAGACAGGGGTCTCACTGAGTTGCTGGGGCTGGCTTTGAACTTGCAAACCTCCTGCCTCAGCCTCCAGAGCTTCTGGGATTACAGGTGTGCACTACTGGCCCTCTTGTTTATATATTTTCTCATTTAATTATTATCTCCTTTCTACAAATGCAGGGTACATCTAGGAGAGTGTCTCCTACGTCTTGAGAAAAGCCCCTGGCACAGAGTAGATGTCCAACAGGTTATTTGGTGGATAATAAATGAATGATCAAATCAATGAATCAACTTGAGAATGAGTGTGGCTACAGACAGCAATTAAAACAAAACAAAACAAAACACTAAGTTCTTCAGAGGCGCTCAGCCTCAACCCTGGGCAATGAACGGAATCGTTGGCATTAGTGAATGCAGCCTGTGTTTGCCATCTTGTTCAGGGAACATTCTGGAAGGGTTGTAGACTTCATTGTCCTCCCAAGAGGGAGCCATGTCCAAGATGGACCCCACAGACCCATTGTGTATGGAAGGCTTGGATTCCTCGAGATGTTCACCTGGGCTCACCGAGTGTCTGATATCTGGGTCCTTCCCATACACCTGCCATTTACAGAACAAATAGTCCTGTCAGCAAGCCACTTGAGGCTGTCTTCACCTCCGCATTTATCAGACAGTCCAGACAGTTGGCTACCACTCTCACGTGGAACGGGAACTGACAGAAATAAAGCCATATGCCATTATTTGATGGTTCTGGTTTGAAAAACTGATATTGGCATTTGTTGCTACTGCCTTAAAAATGACACTTACCCGTTATTAGACTGTTAAAAATAGAGGTCCAGTGTCTTCTATGCTGAGTATTTATGGAAAGGTTAAGTGGATTAAAATAATCTGTGATTCTCTGAAACAACTCATTAGCAATGCTAATTTCCAATATGGTCAGATCTCCAACTCTTAGCTTTCCATGGAGCGTGGCCTTCAGACCACTTCAAAAGCATTTTTGTTCCCCTCGGAATGGAAAAGACTTGTCCCCCCGCCCTCCCCTTGGTGGACATACCTCCTGGTGGATGCAACAGTTCCTTACCCTTGGCATTTCTATTTCTAGACATCTGGTCTCTCCAAAGGGTCTTTTGCAGGCCCGTCGGCCTCAGGGGAGTCCCTGAGTGGAAAGTTGCAGAGCCACAAGGCTCTCTCCATTGCCGCGGGGGAAGGGAGGTGATCAAAGATCAGACGGCTCTGAAAGCCCTTACACCCAACCCACTTGAAATCTCTAATGATGCCTGCCTTCCTCGGATGGAGCACCGCTCCTACCGTGGGTAAAAATGCAGTTTATTCAGATCTGAGCAAGGTATATAGCACCGGGTTTCTTATCTTTTTATGTCTTTGGTAGGAGAGAGTGTTTTTTTCTCCAATTTTCTCTCTTTTTCCCTTTTAAATGCCTACTGTGATGAAATAATATCAACATCACTCAGTCTTGTATTAATTATTATTTGTCCTCAGTAGAGTTTAAGGCTGGTTAACAGAGGTTGTGGGAATAACAGAAGCTAAGAAATATAGCAGAATGAGACTGAGTGGTTTGACCCAGTTTTCTTCGTACTCCTCGGTTTATACCCAAAGGATGTAGAATCAGCATACTACAGTGAAGCAGCCACAGTGATGTTTATAGCAGCTCAGTTCACAATAGCTGGGCTATGGAGCCAGCCTAGGTGCCCTTCAACAGAGGAATTGATAAAGAAAATCTGGTATCTATACACATTGGAATATTACTCAGCCATAAAGAATAAAATGATGGCATTTGCTGATCAATGGATGGAACAGGAGACTATTGTTCTAAGTGAAATGAGCCAATCCCACAAAAACAAAGGCTGAATGTTCTCTCTGATTTGTGGATGCTAACCCCAAACAGGGGGTGGTTAGCAATGTGTATTTGCTGAATGTGGGGTGAACAGACTCATCTGGGGCAGAATATATATGGTTCAGCATACTCCTGTTTAGGCACTCAGCATGGTAGACAGCTCCTGCCTGTCCCCTCTAGGCCACTTCCCCATCCACTCTGTGCCCAGAAGGCTGACCTGAATGGCCCTTAGCAGGGACCTCCCCTTCTCTGAGGCATCCCATTGGCAGG